TTGCATGCTATGCAAGACTCAAAACGGGTTGGTTACTTGGATTACAGCCCTTTCGACCAGTAATGATCGTTTGAGGGTTTTGGAATGAAGGAGAATAAATGATGGTGCGGCAAGACCACATGCTCCATTCAATTCCCGGGAAATGGAACAACTACAAGCGAGTGCTGTTACACAAACGTTCCCACCACACAATCGGGCAATGACATGCTGCTCTGCTGGAGCAAATGTACTAAATAGATAAAATTTTGTCGTCTAGGTTTTTTTATCGTCTAGAAATTGGTTCTCTATAAATTGTACTGTCTATGTTCTTTGTCATTGTCATTTTTCCACCTAAAGAAATACAAATAGTTATAACTGGGCGTATTTCATCATCCTTGATTCTTGCTTTAATATGTTTAGATGTAAGCATTCTTGTTAATGAGATGCACAGTTTTCTGTGTTTTTTTTATAACTTTTGCCTTCTTTAACTTGAAGAGAAGCTGGAAGCTACCCCAATATAGATTCCGTTTGAATTTTGAAGTAAAAAAACTAATAAATCAGGCGTTATACAAATATCTGAAATAAATCAGTGGCGCTCCTCAATTGATGAATGTTTAGTGGGCTCTGCATGCATCGATAGCACTCAAGAGCTTTTCCAGAATTTTTATTTGGGCCCTACCGAGATTTGGAGGATCCCGTGAACACATATTGTAGATCAAGATGGGTCGAAAATTTGTATGAACATAGCCAACCTCTGCTTGTTTTTTAAATTTGCCACGTCAGCTAGAACCGATCAGTGAAAAAATGCATGTACCACAGTTCTGAACATGCTCGCTCGCAAACCTCAGCAACAGGAGGCTTGAAGACCGGCGTTGCAGTCTCCAGAGGCCGCGCAGCGTCGTACCCGCGGCTAACACTAAGTGCGGAACGTTGGCCGACGGGCCAATGCAAATTGTGACGCGTCTGAAAAAGTAGCTTTGAAAATTGTGACGTATCTGAAAAAGTAGCTTTGAAAACATTAGGGCATCAATTCGTACGTTCAGGAGGTAGTCCGAGCGTTTATTTTACCTTTGCAATTTTTAGATTGATATTAAGAACGGCTTAACTTTTACAGCACCACGAAGTCTTGCTAGAACCAGGTGGTGGAACTGAAAAAGTAATCTGTTTTTCGTGTTGTTCTAGCTCTTAACCTGTAAACAACTACAACTGCAATCAGGCCCTTCAACCTTCCTGTCGGGCCTACTCGAACACAGCCTTAGGGCGACTCGAGGCCTTTGCCGACACACGACCCTTGTTAATCACTTTAAGCCCCTGGGCGACACAGAGGATCACTCACTGACTTGGGAGCCCTGACCAATGTAAATCGCGGACCCCGGCCTTCCTCTAGTTTGGGAAATTGACCCTTAGGCCCAAGCAATCTCGGAGCCCCCTGTTCCGTACCAGAGGCGTCTGCCGCCGGCCCGCCGGCATTGAGTGATGCGCTGACCGGTGGCCGACCAAATATAATCGATGCCAGAATCGAAAGAGTGTGATTTATCGGCAACTGATTGCTCTATGGCACCGTTACCGGATGCACACCATCGCTCTCCTGGGAAGCGATTATAGGCCATTTTTCCGGGCTTGACAGTTCTGGCAATCACGCTGTGGGCAGGACAGCTGTTTAAAGGGAGGGTCTCACATTTGAAGATATTGATACAAGCATCAGATATGACGAAACATGCTCACTTATGAGTATTAAAAGGTAGTGGTGTACTTTTAACTGGAAAATACTGCTCTAGACAGCACAATTCTCTGTGTCGTAAATATGCTCCTCAACGCGTCATGGTTTGATTACGTCATCGTACCTTTCACAGCTTTGATTGAGAGCCAATGGACGCCCGTTGCATCTGGAAATCGCTCTCACGAGCGCCAGATATGAACGCCTCGACATTTTTTTTTATTGGCCTTGATCACCGCATGGCTTATGTCATTGCAGGATTTGAATGACGTCATTGTGGCGTCATAAATGCCAAGGTAGCTTTGAAATACTCTCCCTGATAAACCTTCTCCATTTTAGCGGGCGTGTGCTGTGTGCGTGACATCGTGCGCCGCAACATCGGCGCACAAGCAGAAGTAGTTAAGAATTTACATGGTATCTTTGCAAATCGCCGTTTCGGCTGGTCCGCCAGAAACCAGTGATGTGCTGGCGGGTTGTCGACCGTATAAAATAGATTCCCTCGTCGGGGACATGCGTTGTCCTGCCACCTAGCCGCATGCCATCTAACCATCCAGCTTCTGGCGTCCAGCCCTATGGTCCTGTACCAGCTCTACGGCATGCACAAAGTCGCAGTCTTCGCGCACGATCAAACATATGCTTTCCTGACCGTCCCACACTCGTGCCATCATGCTACCGGCTGGCCGGTCACATATATCTATGTGCTGTCAAAAGGTGCTTTGACTAGAATAGGTCATGTTATCCTGTTAGTAGTTAACCTCGCCGGCCTATTGTGCTCCCATAGTAAAATCGTGTGAGGATGCTGCATTCTCCGCGCGCTGTTAGATGTATTTAAAATCAGACGCCGTATCTTTCCAAATCGGCGCTGCAGCCGGCACTACAGCAGTAATACGCTGTCTGTGGATCGACCGAATGAAATTGGAACCAGATTCTGACGAGTGCAGTGTACTGGCAGTCGATTGTCCTATATCAGCTATCAAATGCGCACAGTCCCACTCTCTGCGGGCGATTATAGTTTGTTCCTGGATGTCTTATTCTGCTTAAGGGCAGGACTGATGCAACTTAACACCATCCTACAAGAGTTGAGGAGAATAAGAAAGGTGATGCCGGCCGATGAGCAATTTACTTGCTAGCTGTTAGTTCTATCACAATTGCATCGTACGCGCATGGTTGCATCATCCGTGCACGATAAGAAATATTTCAAATTGGATGTTGTGTCTTTCTAAATATCCCAAGCGATATGTCGCCAGAATGGGGTAATTTCTGGGACAGCGTTACCTAAGGCCCTCAATTCGACGTCGAATGAAGGTCTCAACTGTATCGCGGCGTGACCTGGCTTTCGTCGGCTGCGTGGCGGCGCGCGGCTCCGGGAACCCCAGAGCTTTATGTTGGCGGGGGTAGGGAAACGGGGTGCACGAGGCGGCCGGAGGACAGCGAATGGTGTCTGTTGTGCGACTGGGATGACTATGATGCTTGCTATCAACGAGGAAACCCTTAAGCTTCTGGTTAATTGGCCAGGGGCGTGGTTTCGCTAGATGAGTTGGGGCGAGGGGCCGGCTGGTGGCAGGGGAAATGACGTAACGTGTATTCAAAACGCATGCGTTTTCTCGGGTGTGGCCCCTGGGCTGAGCTGGTGAACAGTTAACAGAGCCAGGAGTCCATGCTCCCACAAGTACATCGTGTTTGCAAGGCTGCTCCCTCCGTGCACGAGGAAAAGTATTTTGAATTAGGCATTGTATCTTTGATAATCGCACCTGCGGGCGGCTCGCCAGCATTGACTGACATGCTGTTTGGGGGTCGGCGAATAAAATGGATTGCCTCATCGGAGTGTGTAAAACCTGTAGATGATAGCCGTACACCAGATCCATCCAAAGCACACAGTCGCACTCTACACACGCTATTATAAATATTTTTCTCGCGGACGCGGCATTCTGACCATCTAGATACGGGAAGCCGGCCGCATTTAGCTAAGCGTCGTGGGGGGTTCACTGAAACTAGTCATTTTACCAGATGACCAAGTTACCTGATCGGCCGAGAGTGCTCCAACAATTGCGCACGCGCGCGCATGGTTGTGTGGCATGGCCGGGCGGCCGCAGCCTGGTGCGTTGCGGGCTGCCTATGTGTCAGGGCTCCCGGCCGGCTCGTGCCCTCGGGCACCGCCGGGTCGGGACACAGGAGCTGGCGAACGGCGGAGCGAGCGGAGACTGTGTGTTACGGCGGCCCGCGTGGACGGAGCAGGACATTAATATAGTTTCACCGTGAGCGAGGGTGTGGTTGGCCACGGCTACAGCTGCACCCTCCGCGCGGTAGTAAATGTGTTTAAAATTGGATGCCGTATCTTTGGAATTACCGCTGCGGCCGGACATTCAGCTTGAGTGACACGATATGGTATCGGAGGAATGAAACCGAAACCAGAATCCGAGGAATGTGTTGTACCGGGATATGACTGTTTTACACTATTGCTATGGAAAGCATGCAGTTGCAGTTTTCGCGTCCAATTATAAGTGTTTTTCGAAGGCCGCCGTATTTTGGTCTTCACGCAACTGGCAGGTGGGACACTTTTAGCACTCCTATGTTAGGGGGTGATCCGAGCAAAAAAGGTCCTCTTGGTCGATGAGCGATTGACCTTCCCAGCAGACAGCATTCGCACAAGCGCATTGCGTGCGCATGGTTGCACACTGTGCCTCAGCAAATGTATTTCAAATTGGACAAAGTATCTTTAAAAATCTCACCTGGCGCTTCGGAACCATAGGGGGCACATGACCCCCGCTCTGCAGGGACTACTACTAGGCAGGGACATGAGATCTAGGGGGCTCGGGGGCGGTGGTATCTCCTAAAAACTTTCTGGAAATTTAGAATTAGTCCCATGGTTGTTGACTAGAACGAAGTAACCAAAATGGTAGTCGGCCCTTCGACGTGGTAGCAATATTCCACTGCCCCTGGACCAAAGTGATTCATTATATTTAACAGACCCATGGTTCTTGTTTGGACAATCGAACAAAGAAATCGTCGAGTGCCCTGAAAGACGTTTCGTCTCTCATTTCCTTTTCAGTTAGCACAAATATTTTCATGCACAGAGCCTTAATCAACCACGCCTTGACAAGAGGGTAGGACGGTTCTGAGCTCTAATTGTCAGTGCCACCTAGTGGTCACAAAAACTCTAGATGAGTATAATTTAAAAGCTTCTTGGGAACGTTAATACCTTTCAAAGTGACGCCTTTGAGACGATTCTGGCTGGCGCGCCCGAACGTTGCGCGGACCGCGCTGACATGTAACTCCCAGGCTTCACGCACGAGGAGGACGAAACGCATGGGGGTAGTGCTCGCGCGTCAGCTCTTACTAGTGCCGCGGGTTGTTGCGGTGGCACGCTCGGGCTGTGATTGCTGGTTGTGAACGATTTTTTCAGACGTCCAAGTAGGCAGTAAATAAGACGGTATGTGGAGCATTTCATTTTTCATTCATGGCCCCTAACTGACATGTTCGTTTTGTAGTGTGGGATATTGCGTTAACCATTGAGGTAAAGCTGTGTATTGCTATTCTTTTGCTGACACATGATAATTTGATGGCTTTGCCCTCATCGATTTAGCAACATATGAGACAAAGAGGAATAGTTGTTTATTTTTGGCACAAATGACTGCCAGTAATATAATAAATCAGCCCATGAGTGCAATGCACACATTTAAGTACATGAGCTTTAAGTCATACACATATGTTGCCATCAACTTTTTTTCTCATGATGCAAGAACACATTGTACATTAGTTAACAATCCAAGACATGAAGGAGCAATAATTTTAAACAGGGTCATATTTAGGAGATCCATCATTTTATCTTCAAAACAAGATTATGATAACAATGGCAGATTTTCATCTGTAACACTGGTGTAGGTGTACTTTCCTACCTAATGTTAGAAAAAATCATTGCACACCATTTGTCGTGTTTAAGGCGGCACATATCGTAAATAATCTCAAAACAGGTAGAATCATGCTCCTACCTTCAAGTTTCAATAACTTCGATGGCGGGCTCCCGAGCGCCGCGCGCACCGCACCGCCTGGACTCCCCAGCGCCGTTTCTGCGTTGCCGTTCGTAAATACAATATTTCTGCTTACCAAGAACTCTACAAAATGTACGGGACCAAGGTAAACCATTCGTCGTGTTTAAGGCGGAACATATCGTAAATAAATTCAAAACAGATAGAATCATGCTCCTACCCTCGAATTTTAGTGAATACGATAGCGAGCTCCCGAGTGCCTTTATGGTTCTTGATGCTGCTTGATGCGCAGTAATATTGTGACCCGCGCAGTAATGGCGCCGGTGTCGCGGGTGCTGTGTGTGTGCGACGCTCGGGAGCTCGTCATCGTAATTATAAAAAATTGAAGGCAAGATCATGAATCTACCTGTTTTGTAATTATTTACGATATGTCCTGCCTTAAACACGACGAATGGTTTACTTTGGTCCGGTACATTTTGTAGAGTTCTTGGTAAGCAGAAATATTGTATTTACGCAACGGCAACGCAGAAACGGCGCTGGGGAGTCCAGGCGGTGCGGTGCGCGCGGCGCTCGGGGGCCCGCCATCTAAGTTATTGAAATTCGAAGGTAGGAGCATGATTCTACCTGTTTTGAGATTATTTACAATATGTCCTGCCTTAAACACGGCGAATGGTGTACAATGATTTTTTCTAACATTAGGTAGGAAAGTACACCCTGACCGTAACACTGACGGCATGATGCTCATTTATCGAGGCTGTCCCAGTGAATCATGGCAGCAGGTGTTTGCTTTTTCTCAGTGTAGCTAACTTTTGGATACCGATTGTATGGGTCTAAGTAGCTAAATATGATGTTGCGATATGATAGAAATGTTATGTTGCAGCAATATGATGCTGCACTTCTCATTAGTTGATGTCTGTATCTTGAGCAGTATCTGAAGTTTATTATGATGCTGCTCAAATAAAGCAGCCATCAATAGAAGAAATCATCAAAAAAGAATCTTGTTATTCATCAACATAAATTGGGATCAAATGATGAGATACATATTTGGGGGGTTAGCTTTTTTGTTCCTCAGCTTTGGCCTCTCAAATTGTTGACGTGAATAAATGCACCTGTGATGCACATGACTGAAATTTGGTGTCCTGCATTTTTAGCTGAGACTGCCCAAAGTTGAAGTTAAACAGTTACATTTTTCTGTTTGCATTAGAATTTGAACAGTTTTGGATGATATGATAACACCAAAAGGCATTCATCTTGATTTGCCCTGGCTTTTGTGATGCACACTTTGCCAGCAGCTAAGCAAGGCCGCCACCCACACATTAGTGTGACCAGTGGTATAATGATACTCAAGTGGGATGTGACACACCTTCCTTAAAGAAAAGTTGTAATATTGCCTTTGTATGCAACATTTCATTAACATCCTACTCTAGATATGCAGCAGTGCTTAGGAATAAACAAGGCAAACCAAAAATGGAAATAAACAAAGCTTCCCCAATCCAGGCATCTAACACTGTGCCAGTTCTGACCTTCTGACCTGACCTTCTGACCTGACCTTCTGACCTGACCTTCTGACCTGACCTTCAACACTGGTGGTGAGCCACGACCGTGACCGCCTCTCTCCCGCCAGCGCCGCGATGCCGGCCGGCGCCGCCGCCGGTGGCGACACCTCGCGGCCGGCGCACCGCCTGGCGGCCAAGGAGCGCACGGCGGACGTGCGTGTCTCGGAGGACGTGACGTTCGCCGGTCTGCTGCTGTCGGAGCCGGTGCTGCTTGGTCTGCAGCAGGCCGGCTTCGAGCGGCCGTCGCCCATCCAGCTGCGCGCCATCCCGCTCGGTCGCTGCGGCGTCGGTTAGTGTCGGGATGAGGGGGGGGGGGGGGGGGGGGGAAGGGCGACTTCGAGCGGCCGTCTCCCATTCAGCTGCGCGCCATCCCGATCGGTCGTTGCGGCGTCGGTTAGTGGCGGGAAGGGGGAGTGCGGCCGGCTGGGCGGTCAGCATGGGAGAGTGGAAAGTCTGCACCAGGCAGAGGTGATGTTATAAAGGGCTGAAGCACTGACTTGGAGTGCGCGATGGCGGTGGGGTGTGATGTGGACGAATGGGAGAGGAGAGGGGTGTTGTAAGATTATATATTGTTGGCAGGGCAGAATTGTTCGTAAATGCAGCGTCCTTTTATGACATGAAAACAGGCTATCTGTGCTGTGTGAGCAACATTAACATGCCGTCACAACCCTGTGTATGTTACAACTTTGCAGTGTGCAATACAACTGCGCGATACAGCTGTTACCCACTGACATCGAACCGGTTGTTTATGATAAGAAGGTCACAAGTTAATGGGTGCACAAGTCTGAGTTAATTTGAGTTGTTTTTTGTTATTTAAATTTACTTTTTGTGTACATGACCATTACCAAAATATGTTTTCGTGTTTGATTAGTTCACTCAGCATGGTCTAGTGCTGCGCAACCTGAATCATTGCCCTCTGAACTGACAAGCATTCGCCCACCACCTGAAGTTCATGTGCCCCGTATTCTTTGGGACGGTCTGCTCTAGCCTGGCAGCATCACACATTGCAAGTAATGTTTTGGTGTAATGTGTGCTTTTGAATGTGAGAGCCTGCGCTCATGTGTTGCCTTTGTTTTCTTTATTACACCCCGGCGGTCGCGGCGTCTGACACTGCCCCGCCCCCTGCCCCTCCCGACGCCGCAGATCTGATCGTGCAGGCCAAGTCGGGCACGGGCAAGACGTGCGTGCTGGCGGTGCTGGCGCTGGAGCTGCTGGCGGCGGCGGCGCCGTCCGGCCGCTGCCAGGCGCTGGTGCTGGCGCCCACGCGCGAGGTGGCCGTCCAGGTGGCGCAGGTTGTGGCCGCCATCGGGTCGCACGTGCCGGGTAGGTGGCGCCACCGGCGCACCGCAGCTCGGCCGCGCTGGGTTATGCGAGTTCCCTGAGGGGCTGGCTGTGGCGAAAAAGCCCGCGAGCTGACCCACGGGGGGGGGGGGGGGAGCTGCAATTTGAAGGTTGGAAGGCAGCTGCTCTGTGTGGTGTTAATTATGTGGTATTATCTTCTTATATTGGTTTTACCACACATATCAGAGATTTTCCCTGTTGGCACTGCCGCGGTGACCAATCTGGCCGTTTTGACTCATTTACTCAGAACTTTGATGCCGGGATAGTTCCTTTTGAACCTGTCGTCGTTCTTTTTGACCCCGTGATCCTGTCGTTCTCGCCCCATGATCCCGCCGTCTGGACTGTGCTGTCTTCCTGTTGCGCTCCATTGCCCTGCTGGTTTTGCTCGGCTATGTCCTGGCCCTGTTTGGGCTCCCCTGCTGTTCCGACACCGTTGCACATCTGCCTTGGCTCAATTCTCCGTCGTTTTTGCTCCGTTATCTCAGCGTCCATACTCTCTCCGCGCGCCGCTCGGACCGCGTCACTCCAACGTCCTGGCGCCGGCATGTCTCGTTCCCCACGTCGCCGTGCCGCCTTTGGCAACTCGTGCGAGCTTGTAACGTCTCCGCTTCAACCGTCCCCGTGTGTGTCCAGGTCTGGCGGTCCACACGCTCATTGGCGGACTGCCGCTCGCGCAGGACGTGGCCAATCTGCGCCGCTGCCAGGTCGCCGTGGGCACACCAGGTGGGTGCGACGTTAGAACTCGCCTGCCTTCTCCCCCTCCCTCCTCCCGTCACCGCCCTCAACAACCCCCCCCCCCCCCAACCCCGTTTGCTGGAACAGGTGATACGCTGGTCAGATAGCGTGGGGACTGACGTCGAGGACGCCGTGCATAGAACGGGGCTCCGGCCGGGGCGGCAACGGCTTTTCAACGCATTCAAGTGGGCTTCAAACGGTAGCTTATTATAGAGGCGTGTTTTTTTTCGGAAGTTGTAGGCACAGATATGCCTTACATGACTGCTTGCGGGCGTCGCATGCGAGAGTCATTCCGAGGACGTGTGTGCCTAAAACGTTGTCACTCAGATGACTAGTTTTGAACACTGGAGGGTGCTCCTTTGGACATCTACCATTGATAAGTCCCGGCCCCCCAGGGGCTCATGGATGGGAATGATATCCCGTCCCACCGCTGCAGGTCGCGTGCGTCAGCTGGTGGACAGCGAGGCGCTAAACACGGACGCCGTCCGCCTGTTCGTCATGGACGAAGCCGACAAGTTGATGGAGGACGCGTTCGTCGACGACATCAAGTGAGGCGCTGGCACTAGCGGAACGGACCCATTGATGTCCTGCCCACGCTTGGTTGGCTGGGAGACTGGGCAACTGGGACGTACTGGAGGCAATTATGTGAATGGTATGTGCCTGTTATGGCACCTGTTGTTTTTGTCTGATAGACATGCTCCTAGTCTTCTGGTGTTTCTTGTGCATATTGGATGTGTTGAAGTCTTTTTTGTCACGAAATCGCGCCTGGGGAACCATCTCTTACGGCATTTTCAACTCCATTTGGCACGCTCACACTGCATTATTTGATCGGGAGAACCCCAGTCCCCGCGGCAATTAACGCTGCCGCATTCGCACTGCTGAAGTAAACTAGATCGAGCTCAGATCGGACCTACAGAAGATCAGAGAACGCCACCTGAACATCCTGACTGCACTGAGCGCTGGAGCAGGCGTTGCTTGGTGCTGGTAGTGCCGTCCCCTATGCCCCAATCATTGTATCGGTCGCCAGGTTTCGGCCAGGCATGCGTGCGGGATATGCCGTCGGCTCGATTTTTAAGGTATAGGACTAGCGCGTTGTTAGATACATCTCATACATCCCTATACCTATCTTCAAGTGCATCCCTGTTGATCCCCATCCTTATCCCTAGATAGCATGCCTATACCTACCTATCTGGATCTGGCGACCGTCGACTCATCAAGTTGTCTCAGAGCGGTCTCATTTGCACAGAACGAAACAGGGTCATGCGTTGCCTCGTCGCCAAAAGTGCGTGGTCCAGCCGACCAGATTGTGCCACGCTTTCAGCTTCATCTACTCCACCCTGCCAGCCAGCAAGCAGATGGTTGCTCTGAGCGCCACCTACCCGGAGACGCTGGCCGACCTGCTGGCGCGGTACATGCGCACACCGACCTTCGTCAGGTCTGTGCTCTGAGTGCTCCTGAGTTCCCGGTTGGACTGAGTCGTGGGCTATCTTTTCGTCACCGCACGCACGATCCAATGTTCTGTACTGGCTGTTCATTGAGGTTTTCGACCGGCATAGGTTTCAGGAACTTACTGCTGATCAGTCTCATGATTTTTAAAGTTGTCGAATGGGCAATAGTTTTGTAGTTTTAATGTTCGCTGAGCGCCAGGGCGACATCAGCGCGAAAGTCGGTCGAGGGTCGAAGGCAACGATGTCGTTTACGAAGGTGGTACTGGAGTTGCAGGCCATCTTGGAACTGACAATATGTGCAATGATATTTGGTTTTGAGATATGGGGGTGTTAACGTGTCATTCATTTTATCTGTAGATATCTCGTAAAACGCCCTATCTTGTGAACCTTGTCGCTACTCTAGCTGGCTTCATGTCCGAATCTTCCTGTTTGATGTGTCACTGATGTCCGCCCTTCAAAACATACGAACCGTTTGGTGTGAGAAAGTCCAGACTAACCGTCGACGCTGGTTTGACAGACTCGGCAAGTCCTCATCCGCCCTGCTCGGCATCCGTCAGTACGTGCTGACCGTGCCATACCAGCCTTTGGTGCAGAAGCAGCTGAAGCTCAAGCTGGACGCGCTGGTGCACCTGCTTTCCACCGTCAGCTTCACCCAGTGTCTCGTCTTCTCCAACCACCAGACGAGGTGAAGGGAGATGCTTCACCTGGTGTTCGTGTGGAGCCCTCGCTGACCGATCAGGGATCTGCCAGCGATCTACTGCATGAGTTTGTCGGTTCACTAAGATAGCCCAAGGGCTGAGAGTAACGAATATTTTGATGTGTGGTGCGCCCGCGCACACTGGAACTTGCCGTGGGCAGCTTCGTCTCGTGTATGTTCTTGCTGTGGGTAGCTCCGTCTCGTGTATGTTCTTGCTGTGGGCAGCTTCGTCTCGTGTATGTTCATGTATCCCTTCCATGTCTGGATACGTAGAGCGGAGTGGCCCTCACATCCCTCTCCGACAGCGCGAGTCCCATAAGGCTCTTTTGCGGCCGGAGTTTTGGTTGTTGTTGTTGTTGTTGTTGAGTTGCGACCGGAGAGAGCGTTTTTCGTCCATGATGCAGAGACCTGGCCCGTGTTAAACCTTGGCACAGTGGATACGCGTGCACCAGAATCGCCGTCATCATCACGTCCTGCGTCTCCAATCCACGCTCTTCCAGCCTCGGTCCGCTGTCTCGACAGGGCGGAGACGCTGTCGACCCAGCTGACGGCGCGCGGCTGGCCGAGCACCCACCTCTCCTCGGCGCTGAGCCAGGAGCGCCGGCTGGAGGCGCTGGCCCGCCTCACCTCCCTCCGCTGCCGCGTGCTGGTCGCCACCGACCTCGGCGCGCGCGGCGTCGACAGCGAGCACGCCGACCTGGTCGTGCAGCTGGACGTGCCGTGGGACGGCGCCACGTACCTGCACCGCGTGGGCCGCGCCGGTCGGTACGGCAGTCGCGGCGCGGCCGTGGCGCTCGTGGCTGCCGGCGAGGAGGAGCGGCGGCTCGCCACCGTGGCCGAGGCGGCCGGCGTGGCGCCATTGCGGCTGCCGGAGAGCCTGCCGCACGATCTGAAGACGTGCACGACGGAGGGATGGGCGGAGTTCGTAGTGGAGGGTGAGGAACCGGCGGCAGGCGAGGAGGCGAAGGCGAACGCGACGAAGACGAAGGTCAATGGGCACACCAGGCCGGCGGCGGGCGACGCTGCGGGAAAGTCGCGAAGAACGCCCCCCACAGAGTCCAGTGGTGGACCTCCCGCTGACGCGCCTGACGCGGGCGGCGCCTCAGCGCACGCACCAACCCGCCCGGGCGGGCAGTCGCCAGACGAACGGAGTCCAACGGGGGGTGAGCAGGCGCCGGGGACGCGGCCGGCGCCGGAGGCGGACGAGGCGGCGCCGGCCGGCAGCAGCGGGCGGAAGATCCGCGTGGCGCGCCGCCGCCGCCCACCGCCGCCCGTGCCCGACCAGCGGGCGGAGGGGGGCGCGCCTCGAGGCGGCGGCGGACGGCTGGGAGCGTGCGGTGGCGGGGCGGGGGCGACGGACGCCCGGCCGGCCTCCCCCACAGCCGGAGCGCGCGCCGGAGGGCGACACAGGCGCGCCGCGGCGCGACCGCGCAGTGGCGGCAGACGATGAGGTCTCACGAGAGGAGGCTGTGTGTGAGGCGGCCGGGGCCGGCGGCCAACGGAAGTCTGAGGACCAGCAGGCGGGTGGTGATGTACCGCGACGCCGCCAGGACTGGGACACGCCGAGGCGCACGGGGCAAGCGGCCGGCGCGCGTGCGGACACGGCGGCGGACAGCGACAGCGGAGACAGCTTCTCGGCGCTGCTGGAGGCATACAAGCGAGATCAGGAGCGGCAGCGGGACGACTGGAGCTCCGGAGACGGAGATGGAGACGTGCGGGAGGGGCGGACGGGGGTGGGTAGCGACGATGGAGACGGAGACGGAGACGCTGGGGAGATGCGGGCGCACGGCGGGGCTGGAAATCAGACTGCTCCCCAGCTGGAAGGTGGGCGAGAGACACTGGATGCGAGTATAGAGGAGACGATGCACGTGGACGAGGCACGCTTGCGAGAGGTCGTGGGCAAACTAAATCCGCGCAGGGTGAATTCTCTGACTGAAGAGGATCTCGCCACACTGGCTGAGTACCTGAAGTTCAAGCAGGATGCTGACGCGAAACGTTACGGAAAGATAGTCGCTTCAATGCGCGAGCGCGGTGTCGGCAAAGTGCTTTCCCGATTCGGCGATAAGGTTGAGACTACGCTTACAGACATCATGGAGAGCTTCGCACTTCACATTACCGGTCCTGTCGCTGCCGTCAAAGCGACCAAGCGTGCCGCAGTGCCTCAGCACAGTAAAACCGAGTCGGAAGTAATTTCGGCTGGTCGTCACCCTGTCGTAACTGGACAAGCGGTCAGTGCTGACGTCAGAGCTCCGTCTGCCAGTGCTGGTGCTACCTCCCTGGCCCGACCGCTCGCTGCCGCTGCTGGTGGTGCTGGCGCGGCATCCGCCGGCACTGCCACCTGTGCGTCACCAAACGCGGATGGCGCCATCTGCGCTCCGCCTTCTGTCAGCGTCGTCCGCGGTGCTATTCCTAACAACGGCAAGAATGTGAGCGGCACCACCACCAAGGCAGGACCCGCGGTAGGTGGCGCCACCGGCGACGCCGATGCAGAGATTCGTCAGCTGGCGACCACGGAGGAGGAGGCGGCTTCATTCCAGCGCCAGCTGCGCCGCCAGGTGGCCGAGGAACGGCTGGCGCGCGCCGCCGCCCGCCAGGGGCCGCGCCCCGACTCGTCGAGCGGCGAGGTGTCGGACGACGAAGCCGAGGACGAGGACGAGGACGAGGACGAGGACGAGGAGGCTGGGGCTGTTCAGGGAACCGACGTGGCCCACGAGGGCGGAGCGGGTGACGCCTGGCGGGGTGAGGAGTGGGGGCCCTGCACGGGTCCGCCGCCGTGGGCCCCGGGCGGACCCCCACCGTGGGCCGGCGGCCCCCCGTCGGCGGGCGCGGGGCACCCGGGGAGCTGGGCCGGTGCGGGAGCGGGAGACTGGACGGGGCCGGGTCCCGCGAGCGGTGCGGGTCAATCACCCCCCTGGGCTGGGTACGGACCGCCAGGGAGCGGGTACCCGGATCCGAGGAGCGCTTATGTCGCTCAGGGACACACGGCGTATCCGAACCCGTGGTCGGGTTATGGCCCTTGGAGTCGGGGTGAGTACGCGAACCCCTGGGCTTGGCGCCGCCCTCCAGGGCCGGATGAAGACCAGTATTCGTGGGATGCGCACCATCCGGCATGGCACGCGTCGTATCCGAGGCCCTGGACTAGCCGTGGACCTGCGAGTCGTGCTCACTTCTGGAGCTACTCAACTGGATGTAACTCTTCGTACCCTGAGTATCAGCACGGTTGGGGCGGGCCTGGTGCCGCGTCGGACAGGGGATACCCTGCGCAGCGCGACGACATCTCGTGGGAGGCTCTCCTGAGGACGTGTTATGAGCGTCAGACCAGGTACATCAAGCACATGTCGCGGTTCTTCATGGACTACCACGGACGGCAGGGATAGGAAGTGAATGACATCCTCGTGGACATGTGCTGACGTCATGTTTGTGACAGCAATGTGATAATTTCAAGAGGATACATTTTTGGATAAAATGAGTTTGCGCTTCCGAAGCAGACCAATCGGAATTGTCGCCAAATCCGGGAACGACTTTCAAATTGTGACGGAAACCCTTCATCCGCCATAGCGGTGCGTGTTTGGTTAAACGCGGTGTTTGGCTCATCGTACGCAGCAGGTGTGCCGTGCGGGTATCCGCCCCAACCCCGGGTGTGTTCAGAGATTTAAGCTACTGATGTGTCGGGGATGCACAGCGCTGCCGCGTGTGGTTCGGAGGCCGCCACTGCCATTGTCTCACCCGGGGGAACATTTTGGGTGACAGACTATGGTGAAGCCGTCTTTCGACGCGCATGCGTCGTCTGAACCCACAGACTGACTTACAGGGCTTTTATCTCCGAGAAGTATTACTTGGGCTGGCTGTGTCTTTTTACACTGGGCTCTTCACAACAAATAACAAGAAAGGCAGATTTTCAACCCGGGCCATAACATGTGAGATTTCTCTGTTAAACTTAATCAGCACATAGCCATGCGAACAGAAACTTATCAAATCTATGAAACGGTTAACGCCCCTTTTCGGGGTGCAAGGGGCTGATGCAGGTTGATATTCAACTACACCATAAACTTGTCGCTTCGCTGCACCCAGAGGTATTACCACAGTGCTTTGATGACACTCATAACTAAATACGGCTTTGTAAGCAAATACGTGTTCTTTTGCAGTGGTAGATCATCGTATTGACATTTGTGACTGAAGATATTGCACCTCCTCATCTAATTCACTTATATGATCCATTGTTTGATAACGTAATTGTCATATATAGTGCAATCCGTTCGTGTAATTTATTGTATTTCTGACCTAATTCATATTCTATCTAGCTAAGTCACCCGCAGTCCGACCTCTGCAATTACATCCTTGGCTATCACCCTCTGACTAATAACTGCCAATCGGATGGGCGCCGCCGAGGTTTCAGACGGGGTTTCGTCGATGCCGTCGCGTCGCGGCGTGCTCTTGTTCGGCGCGGCGTGGCGGGACCGTTCGCTCGTTTTCCGTTGGAGCCAGCGGTGCCGCGGCTGTCTCGTGAATGCCTTAAGACTGTTGGCGGCGAGTCCAAGTCCGCTACGGTCCCGCCCCGGCGGCAGAAAGTCTCCGTCGATTGACGGAGACTTTCTGTCTACAGCGCGCTAGCAGGCGGGCGGTCGCTGCATTGCGGCGCAGCAGTATGGTGCATTAGTGCCGGACCGGAAGGGAGGCACTTCCGGTGGATCCGCTTGCATCACGTCCGTTGTTCCGTTGTCTCTCTGCATCAGCTTGTGTGGCAGTACCGGGGTGGCTTGTCAAGGTCCAATGCTGGCGTCTGGCGCCCGTCTCGCCATCGATGTTCGCTGTCAGGCGCTGTACTGGATTTCTAGAGGCATTTGGCTGGACACGGGTAAACCTTTTAGGCTGTCATGTTGGAAGTAGTCTGAGCAAGTTCCGTCTTTCATGGCATCGAGTAAAATGCTGCGTGAGTGGGGACGACGCGAATGGCTGCGTCTTGACGCCAGCGCGCCGAGTTCGCTCGCAACGTAGGGGAAAAGAGAAATAATTTGCTTTAAACATTTGGAGGCCGTTTGGTTATCGAGGCGGGAGCCTGACAAGACCGGACCGACAGGCCTAGTGGCCTTTTATGATTCCCGATCACCATAAGGTGAGGTGAGGTAAGATAAGGTAGAAACAGGATCGTGACCGCGCTCTTTCCTGGGGCGTTGTGGCAAAACGTGCGTAGAAAAAATACTATATCCCTTCTCTGAGCTGCTTCACGCCTGGTCATCTACAGAATACATTGGCTTCAGGCTTGATGAAGTGCAAAAATACTTAATAGGCCCAAGTAGTGTCACTATTTTTTTGGATGGCAATCCTTCGCCAGGTGACTAACTTAGTTTAGTCAGTTAACCGACGAGGGATTGGTCACCCGGTGAAGAATTGTCATGTGAAATAGAGTATTACTATTTGGGCTTATTTGGTATATTTTTTCACTGTATTCGGGGTCACATCGCGGTGGACTACCCCACACACAACGGCGAACTGCCGCACGCAACGCCGACAAGGAGACTCTCCCTACGCGCCCCGAGCAGCACCTCTTATACTCCTTCCAAGCCCACCCGCAACCCGATCGGCGTGTGACTCGCCGGCGCCACCGCGTCCCACTCCATCGCGTCCACGGGCCAACGCCTCGCCCCTGAGCCGTGACCGTTTCCCTGCGTTAACACTGTCCTGGGGCATGATCTGTTGCCATACATGGTCCACCGCTACACTCACCCCTGATCTTCAAAGACCACACTCTCACACCAACGTTCATACTATCCAATCACTCGATACACTCTGTCCATAAAGTTTGCGCGGCTGTCGGCGCACACGCTGGCTGCGTCGCGACGGCATCGTCGCGACTTCTTCCGCCGGCTGCTCAGGGCAGGTCAGGATGCCCACCGGTTCCGTCCCAGTCGCCGTCGGTGCGTGCTCCGCGTTGTCCGGGTTGTCAGCGACTGCGCCAGAGGCCTCCTGGTGTGACGGGTCCGCGGATATAGGGGTCCGTCCTCCTTGTCACTGGCGTCGCATCGTGATGCATCGCTGTACCAAGGCCGCAGGCCCCGCACTTGCCATGGTACGCCATCCACTTCGGCCGCTTGCGATGACACGATATTCATCATATTACATATCGGCAGCGGACATGTCTGAACGCAGCACCCGAACAACAGCAAGCCCGTCCCAGATTAGCTGACGTCAGCTACACATCACGAAGAGGAAAATACTCACGAAACCAGTTTGTGCGTGGAATTGGAATCGCGTGGAAAAACCTGGTCAACGCGAGGTTCCGTGGCAGGACTGCTTCACATGCCCCTAGTACGTAGCACATACCAAACGCGGACATCGAGGATCTCCTATCAATCATCGTTAATGGCCTATTACAATCGCTTTTACGCAACGGGTATTACGGAAACACACCACTATTTACCGCATTTTGCATTCGATTGCAAGGATTAAGCCCATACCTTTACAGACTCATGCTCCAACGTGCTTGCACTCGGTGGGCTTGGACATTGTGCTGTACACCTGGCTGCGTTCCACATGCAACTGAGGAGCTCAGAGGGCGCGAGAAATTTATGTGCGCTGATAACCTAACATAGACTGCCAGTAATACCTTCAGCAGCAACAAGTGGGCTCGTCCGGGATTTGAACCCGGGGCCTCTCGCACCCTAAGCGAGAATCATACCCCTAAACCAACGAGCCGATAGCGCATGCGCAATTCTTCAAATTCTGGCCTGTGCCATAACTTTCACTTCGTACGTTGGGCGGCCCAGAGCACACTGGCCACATTCACTATGGTCTCACAAGCTCGTGACGTCGAGCATGGGGAGTAACCAAGGAGTGCCCCGGCTTATGTCCGGCTTATGTACATGTTAAGCTAGCGATTCATTCAGCGATTTATTCAGCGACTGGTTCCGAATTCTCTGAAAAACATCTCTAGAGGAATTATGGCACGAGAACATCGGAAATACCTTTATGTGGCAATATCAAGTAACCTTAGAGGTCAAAAGCTGCGTCAAAGTACGGAGAACTCGATATTACCAGCAATTTATCGGCCGATTTGCAGGCTGCAAGCATCAACATATTCACAAGCGCAAGAGCACGTCCGTCGAAAGGCACTGACAACTCAAAGTCACCGTTCAAGCTCAACCGTGGGCTCAAAGGATGGCAAATTCCATATTACCCCAAAATTACCAGCCCATTTTTAACTTGCAAACATCAGAATATTGACCAACGAAAAAACTAGCGTCTGTCAAAAAGTCCTAAATTTTCAAGGTCATCCTTCAAGGCTAAACTTGGGCTAAATGGACGGGAAACTCAATATTACCCATAAATTACCGGCCGATTTTAAACTTGCCAATGTCAGAATATTCACCAAAAGAAGAATTAGCGTCCATCAAAAAGTTCCGACCTTTCAAGGCCGCCGTTTATGGTCAAACGTAGACTCAAAAGGCTGAAAACTCAATATCACCCCAAAATTACCGGCATATTTTAAACTACCCAATATCAGAATAATCACCACAGAAAGGACTACCGTCCTTAAAAAGTCCTGACTCCTAAAGGTCACACACGGACTCAAAGGACAGGCAGTCCATATCAACCAAAAACTACCGACCAATTTTAAACTTACAAACATTACAATATTCAGCATGAAAAACTAGCTTTTGTGAAAAGGTCCTGGCCTCTCAAGGTCACCGTTCAAGGTCAAACGCGAGCTCAAAAGACGAGAACCTCATATCACCCAAGGATCACTGGCCTATTTGAAAACTGCAAACGTTAAAACATTCAAAACTTCAAGAGCTAGAATATTTATTTAATCATCACACACACACAACATAACAACGTTTAACACAAAAGGAACAAGCGTCCGTCCAAAAGTCCTGACCTCTCAAGGCCATCCTTCAAGGTCAAACGTGGGGGAAAAAAGACGGAGGATTCAATATTACTCCAAAATCACCGGCCGATTTTAAACTTGCAAATATCAGAATATTCACCACAGAAAGAACTAGCGTCCGACAAAAAGTCTTGAATTCTCAACGTCACCCTTCAATGTCAAAAACGGGCTTAAAGGACGGTGAAATTCATGTGAGCCAGAAATTACCGCCCGATTTTAAACTTGCATATATCAGAATATATACCACAGAAAGGACCAGAGTCGGTCAAACTAGTCCTCGTTCGTTGAGCCCGCGTTTGCCCTTGAAGGTTGTCGTTGAGAGATCAGGATGCTTTGACGGACGTCTAATTCTTTCTGTGTTGAAAATTCTGATCTTAGGAAGCTCAAAATCGGGCGGGAATTTTTGGGTCACGTTGAATTCCCCGTCCTTTGATCCCACGTTCGACACTAAGAGGTGACCGTAAGAGATCAGAACTTTTGACGGACGCTAGT